TACATACCTGGCATGTTCATCTGCACATATACCCAATATGTACATACCTAGGACATACTTTTTATGAACTTTGATGAATATACATGCATGCATATTCCACGAACATTCATGTTAGGAATGTTCAACCATGTATATTGCCAGGATATTTCCGCAATGTTCGGTATATTTTTTGAACATTCTGGGATATTCATAGAATATCAAATGCCATCTGGGAATTGCACTTTCTTAGTGTCACATTTGTTGCAGCAGAAGCGGAAATGAACCCGAGTCGAACAGCGAACGCGGCCAAAAAGCTGAAAACCTACCGAAAGTTTCAGAAAATCAAGCTGAACGGTAAATTTCCCATGTACACGATGGTTCAAAAATGAACGTCAGTTTATTGGTGAGTCCATCATTCCTCTATACAGGGTGTCTCCGAAATAACTACCCTAAATTCAGGATCAAGTAGTTTCTTGTTCATTTCTTTCTTTCAACTTCGGCATTAAACAGTCTCTAAGGTTTAATTTTATTCTTCAAAAAGGCTTAAAAAATATCCAATAACAGCGGCATGCACGCCACTGACTTCACGATACGTATTTCGTAGACACTCTGTATAAAGGAGGGGTCAGTATAGACTGATGAGACCAATCCAAGTCTATGCGTGTAAATTGGGCTCTGTTTTAATGTTCAATCTTTGATTCTAGATGTCGCTCCTCGGAGTTCGGGATAAGATGCCTCATTTTCTGAGGATGCAGCCAGGAAAGACAAGAGAAACGGGTTTAGTGTACAGTACAGATTGATCGAATCGAATTTAGCGTTTAGCTTAAAAGCCCAAGACCGGAATTTGCGTATGGCTATCATGCGATTAGGTGGCAGCTTGCACGCGTTTAGTGCATGGTGCTGAACACGTAGCGCGTTGTTGTAAGTTATCAGTATTAAAATTTAACACACCTTCAATGTTGCGTATAGTTATAAGTAGACAATTTTTTAGTTTTTCTTTATACAGTCAGTTTCGCGAGATATTTATGTACATACAGTTAAGTCGCCAGGAAGGTCCATTGGGCGCCGCTTGGTCCAATCAACAGCGCCGTAGTCAAATCAAGTGGGTTTCGATCATGTGAATGACACGATTGAAACCACCGATAGCGATAAAATAGCGGCTTCACATGGCTTTTCGGTTATTATCAGCAAAGTAATTAATATTCTGGTTCATTCTTTACAAGCTTTTTTGTTTAAAGACGTGTTTACACCCAGAAAAACTCCCCTAATGGCCAGGGTTGCGATTTTACCGATCTAGGCAAGTGACTTTGTATAAATTAGAATAATCACAAGGATGCTGTATATTCTTCTGCATTATTAAGTGTATATATTGATCGAATAGAGTTATTTTTTAATAGACCCATGCTGTTTGGTTGTGCGTCAAATCATCCAGCTTAGGATTTAGAATATTTATATAGAAATTACTGCGTAGCTGTTGTTGTCTGATGATGTCCAGATGATAAATTGCGTTTCTCTGCGATAAGAGATTAGAGTCGAATTGCGTACGTCCATTAGCCCGGGAAATAATTCATTTTCCTTCGTATCTGGACGGATTTTAAGCGCACTGAAGTACGGCAATAAGGCACCAATTAAGTAGTTTAGATAGAATAAGTGCTAACTAAAGGTTTTAATAAAAAGGACTGTACAAATGTGGAAATTGGGGTTGAGTGGACACCTTCCGTTTCTGGCGGTTTCTCGTTTAAAAACATGCTTCTAAACAATGCCGCCCAGCAGTCGAAAAACTGCCCGATGGACGCCATCGAAGAACACCGAGTAGGTTTGATCTTCGTCCTTCGACTCTACACTGGGCCTCCTGACTGATATTCTTCGTAAGAATCGTCTTGTGTAGCGGCTACGCACTGGAAAAGTCAAAACTCAGCCGTCCGGCTCAAGTAGCGTTTTTGTATGCGTTTACCAATTATACTGCGAAATCTCGCGCGGCACATCGGACAAGTGTTTTTTCGCTTTGACCATGTTTTCAAGCACAGAAAGCAGAACTTGTGGCTGCATCTGTTGGGCACCCCAATGTGCTTGTTTTTGGTACTGTCCAGGCAAATCGGGCAGCGTTTTGATTGATTTAGCATGCTTTTAGTGGCCCCCGCCTCTGTGCCACTTTGCATCCTCAACGCACTTTTACACCGCGGTTTTTGAATGAAAAAAATGCTCGTTTGACATGGGTGACATAAAGGTGCCAATAATGGAGTTTACCAGCTTTTGCTGACCTTTGTGTCGTAATTGGGAGGGTGTCAAAGGGTTGGAAATTTGGAACGCGGCTCGTGGCACAACTTCTCAAGTAAACAATCCTTAGGGTGGAAGTCGAACTAGATCAGTCGTTGTCTCAGGTTACTTGGGTAAAATGCTCACTTTCCCCATCTGAATGCAGGTTTTTTCGTACAACTGCAGGTAAAATTCGCAAGTTTTGACTGATCCGGGGAAGTTTTACCCCAACTATGCCAGAAGAATTCATTTAAAGGCGATTTTGCTGTGATTCCAGTTAATTAAAATATCAACTTACCTGACATTACGTCAAATTAGTCCACTGTTTGTCAACGAATAGGAAAGACCGCTTGCAATTTGCTCGGCAAAAAGTTCGAAAAGCTTCAGGTTTTTTCCACTTTTGCGCGGAGAATTGCGGATTTTCAGGAAAACTACGATTTCCTCTAGTGGTGCGGGGCTTGTTCGCGATCGGTACTGCGGTTTTTGTGGAAAAAACGCGAGTTTTCAAATCCCACTGACGTTTGGTGTCAACTTGCGGCAGCCATGTAAACCTTGCCCACATTTGAAAGGTTTCTCCAGGATTTGGCAACTATGGAAATGGACGCTTTGGGTGCACAAATGGGCTTCTAAATGGTTAGTGTGACTTTTTAAAAAGCTTTAAATCCGTTGAAGACACACATAGTATTGCTCGAGAGAAACGAAAATTGTCACTATCTCATTCTCATGTAAGAAACCACCTTCAAATGTAAAAAGTTTGAAACATGGATTTTAAATCCCTGCCCTGATTTGCGTCTTAGATCGTTTGAATTTTTTTGGGTTTGTTTACCTTTGTTGTTATTTTGAGTATGTTTGAATTAATCTTGGTAGCTTAAACAAAATGTGTGTACCAACATGACAAATCTCTTTGGTTACCAGGGTCTACTGAACGTCAACTCACATGTCACGTCAAACTGTTGATGTCCAATTTTTGAAGATTCTAAGAATTATTTCCTTAACATTTGCAGATTTTCTAAAAAAGCAAGTTTTCCTCTACTGTTTGGAGATATTTTCTCAATTGGAAATGCGATTTCCGTTGAAAAAACGCGCTTTTTTAAAACTCGCTGATGTTAATCTACAATTTGCCCTCTAGCAAGCAGGATTTTTGTCACCTTTGAGCTTTCAGGGACATATTGAAAACTTTCACGGGTTTGAGGACTTTGCTCTACCATGATACCGGTCTATTGGCAGTTAGATTTTCCACACTAACGAATATTGGGGTTGCTTGGGGGCGTTACACCGCGCATCTAAAGCGAACACTTACTGTTAACGCGCTGTGGTCATTCTGGTGCTTTTTACATTAGGAGTTGTCAAAGAATCACGTTTAACTAGTATATAAGTCCCGGTTTATTTACATTCGAAAAAGTCTGACAAACCTCAAAACCAAATGCCGCTGCTCTCCTGCACATTGCACTTGTTCTCCTTCCGCCTTCTAGTCACTGCATTGGCATCGCCCTTTGGTACACACTTTTTCCTTTGAATCCTCGAATTTTTCGACTGCTGCTGCTTCTTTATCCGGCGTTTGGCCTCATCTGGTGCAATCGTGCTGGCTACGGATGAAATTGATGGTTCGTAGACGCTCTCACTGCATCGAGTTTCAATGCGAGAAGCGCTGGCTTCATCAGAGTCTTCTCGCAGTGGATAGGCAACTTCCAAGCCTCTCATGTATCTTGCGATCTTATCCATTGATAAAAGGTCGAGGTTTTTCGGGTGTGCGCCATCCTCCTCGTTCTTATCAGAATCATCTAGTCCTAATGCCTTATCAAGGTCTCCGGCCAATTTGGAGTCTTCAATTACTTCGTCCAATTTAGAGCATGTGTCTTCCGGTTCCGATTGATCATCGGATGATTTATCAGCTTCTTCGGTCGTTCCATTCTCAGATTCAGAGCAATCGTCGTCGAGTCGCTCTCCTGCCGCCTCAAAGCACTGAGCCATTTCTCTCTTAAATCCTGTGCATTTGACCTCTGTATCCATACTGGCGAAGCGCTCGACGTCTGAGAATTGAGGGAATGTTTCGCTTTCGTAGCCGAACCTGCAAGAAAATTCTCTGTCTAGTCAAAGGTCTCTGTCAGGCCAAAAGCCATTTTTATCAACTAACCTTTTCCTGAAGAAGTTGTTCACGCAATGCACGTCCCTTTCGAAGTACATTTGCGCGTTTGCATGATCAATGGACATCATCTGAGGGAAATCTATAATGACGGGGGTTTCGTCCTCAGTGATAATGATGTTGAATTCGTTGAAGTCGCCATGAATGACTCCATATTCAGCGAATCTCATTATCAGGTTCATCAGTGCGTCGTAAAGAGCCTCCACATTGTTCAGACTTTGCACGTGATTGAGAAGAGTGCCTGTAGAAGATATTATTTAAATCTTCATCCAGTTCTACTAACGAACGACTCACCTTTGACTAGTTCCATTACCACGCAGTGGCGATTGAAGTCGTAAGGCTCAGGTACTGGAAACTGGCGATTGAACAGGGCAGTCATATAAGCGAACTCTTTGGTCGCTGATATGCGAGACAGGTACAGCCAGGAGGCGGACTTTCTGTGCAGATTACAAAACAAAGCAGTTTAATATTGTAACAGGAGGCGGTTGATGTGAACAGTACCTGTTCTTGTGATAGTCACGTTTCTCCACGACTTTCTTAAAACACACGCGTCCAAGGCGGTGCAACTTGAGACACCTTTCCTGCCCCCCTGCAGACACAATGTAAATGTTGCTCTCCTTTCCCACGCCAATCTGGTTCCCAAAGGCGTCGACTGCATCGCGTTGCAGCAGCGATTTCAGCGCCAAATAATCGTAGCCAGAATTCGTTAGACGGTACCCATCGTACTTGTCACCTCGGTCGTAGCTCAGCAGCTTGTGCTTGCACAATTCCTTCAACCTTTTGCCTATGCCCCCGCGTCTCAAATGAGCTATGGCAGCTGCCAGGGCTCCCGGCACTAGCGCGTGGTTTTTCATGCCCATTTCTATTGCGGTGAGGACTCGGAAATCCTCAGGCCCGAGGTTCCTCAACATTTTCACGTCCAATTTTCCCATTTCGAATGAATTAGTTTTAAATATTTAACACTATGTATTATAAACAGCATGCAACTTATTACCCATAGAAGAAGACAAGTTACCAATAAAGTGCTTATTACACTGACACTAATGAAGTTTGAAGTAAGTGTCACCAAAGACCTGACATGCAATGTTGCCGGTTACGTTTTGACCCACACTGCGCGAGAGAGGAATTTAAAATCGAGAGAGAGAGAGCAATATAAACTCGGGAGAGAATAATATAAAATTTATTTCTGCGGAACGTTTTACTGTTAACACACAACCCAAGGGCGGAT